TATATACTAACACACCCCTAATTTAGGGCATTGTTTGTTCAGGTTATGATACAGTGCCCAATCTACTATATATTTTGAAGATTTTATGGATTTATTTTATGGCACTACTGGACCAACCTGGCAGCACCCCAGCTGCTCTGCTGCAGGCGTCCCCGATTCAGCCGCTGCTGAAACTGACCAGCAGTGGCTGAATAGGGGATGCCTGGGGGAGAGCCGGACTATCGGAAGGGGGGGGGCTATGAGGCGTCTGGGGTGGCATCCCCCCGTCACCCTACCCCACCCCAGTCCCCCTCATAGCTTCCCCTTCTGATAGTCCGGCATATCTGATAATCCGGCACCCACTGTAGTTTTATCAATATCAGCTCAATTAGAAAAAAGTATCTCTGTCAATAATGCTGTGACAAAATGGAATGAGTGGACTTGTCACAAAATGTTTGAGTTTGAAACAAATTGTCTATCCAAAGGAAAGGAAAGTTACCAACAATAATACTGTATGTCAAACCCTGTCTGACTTTGGGCAAGTGACTTGTGTAGTCAATTTTTAAAGAGTGGACAAAGATAAAATGTTTTTTTTTTTGGTGCTCAGTTTTTTGATGCCCAGATGTCAGGATTGATTTCCAGAATATTGACTTCAACCAGATTTCTGGGTTTTCTGTGCTTTTAAAGATGAAGCCAGCATATCTGAAGTTCAACACCCAAAATCTCATCCACCCAGCCTATCATGTTTTCATCTGAAAATGGGGATAATTTCCTACCTCTTGGGATAGTAGTGAGAATAAATCCATTGTATAAGGTGCTAGGAAAGGCCTATCTATTAAAATAGTAGATTTGGACTCAAAATTCTGATATTAATTTATGTTATGTCCAAAATATTCTTTATTATGCAAAAAAAGTTTGGACACCAGTCAGATTAGTGCAGGATTCATTAGACTGAATGGGTGTGTTTCTGCATTGACCTAATATGAGGCTCTGGCTATGTATTATAGTTCCATTTTCGCTCACTTTGTAGATATGATTAAGTACTGAATGAGAGACACCAGAGCAGGTATTTCCTATTTGTTAAAACTAACTAACCTATGGTGCTAAACATGGTGGCTTTTGAAGAGTGTAATCCATTCTTACATTTTTCTGAGGTTTGGGAAATACCGAATTTATAGGGGTGCCCACTACAAAATGAACGCTCTCTCTCCTTCCTTCCCCTGCCTTCTCTCTACTTTCTAAAGTTTTGTTTCTAGCCTTGTGTGTTCTTCTCCTTGGGAAAGATTTCACCAGTATGCTTTGGCTGTGTCTCTGCAGGAGCTGCACTTATATGGATGAATCAGGCTCAATTGATTCAGGTTGTTCAGCTTGTGTTTATTTTTGCCTTTTGATAATGGTACTTCATACAGGGTTGTACATCATGTACAAATTTAATGTTTTGTGGAATATTTCACTTATGATTTTATTATTGAATTATAATCTACAGTAAAACATTTGGTTAAATTTGGAAAGTCACTTTACATAGGGGCAACATTTAATCTCCCTCTCTAACATTCAAACTCTCTTCTCCCTGCAGTGGAGAAGGTCAAGTAGGAAAGGATCCTTTGTAGCTTAGCTATGGAAGAGTAGGACAGGATTAGAAAGGGTTGAATTGGTCAATACATACCTCCTATGTGATGAAAATTTCAGACAGATGATATCTCTTGTTCTCACAAGTAGAGGCCTGCAAATTTGTGGCTATCAACTTTATATCCACAGACCATATTTGCTGATCAGATGGGGTACGTCTACACTACAGCGTTAATTCGAACTAAATTAGTTCGAATTAGTTAATTCGAACTAAGCTAATTCGAACTAATGCGTCTAGAACTAAAAACTAGTTTGAATTAGCGTTTTGCTAATTCGAACTAGCATGTCCACATTAAGTGGACCTTGAACCGGGCTTAAGGATGGCCGGAAGCAGTGCCGGCAGGGCATCAGAGGAGGACTTAGAGCGTGGAGATGCTGTCTCAGGCTAGCCGAGGGCTGCGCTTAAAGGGTCCCGACCACCACCCCGGACAGACAGTTCTCAGGGGTGCCCCGCTTGCAAAGCAGTCCTGGCTTGGAGTGCCCGGAGTACCCACACTGGGCACATCACAGCACTCGGCCATCAGCCCGGCTGCACTTGCCGCAGGCTGCCATCTGGGGAGAGGGGGCAATTGGGGGGCTGCAGGAGAGCTTCCACCCCCAGAAGCCCGCAGAGCCAGCCCAGTCCTCCCCATCGGGGGCTAGTACCCCATTCCTCCCTCACCTCCTTCCACTTACCCTTCCCTAGCCCCCCTTCTTATTGATGTACAAAATAAAGATAACGTTTCTTCCAACATTGACTCTGTCTTTATTGAAAAAAACTGGGGGAGACTGGGAAAAGGAGGTGGGAGAAGGGAAGAGAAAGGCTGGGAGAGGGGAGGGCAACTAACATGATCAGGGGTTGGGAACAGGTCCCAGATGAAGAAAGGCTACAGAGACTGGGACTGTTCAGCTTAGAAAAGAGGAGACGGAGAGGGGACAGGATAGAGGTCTCTAAAAGCAGGGGTTGGGTGGAGAGGGTGCATTCAGAAAAGTTCTTCCTGAGTTCCCATAAAGAAGGACTAGAGGACACCAAAGGAAAGGAATGGGTAGCAGGCTTCAAACTAGTAAGAGAAAGTTGTTCTTCTTGACAAAGCAAATAGTTAACCTGCGGAACTCCTTGCTGCAGGAGGCTGTGAAGGCTACAACTAGAACAGAGTTTAAAGGGAAGTGAGATCAAGTCATGGAGGTTGGGTCCATGGAGTAGTCTTAGCCAGGGGGTAGGAGTGGTGTCCCTGCCCAAAGTTTGTGGAAGGCTGGAGAGGGATGGCACGAGACAAATGGCTTGGTCACTGTCTTCGGTCCATCCCCTCCAGGGTCCCTAGGGTTGGCCGCTGTCGGCAGACAGGCTACTGGGCTAGATGGACCTTTGGTCTGACCCAGGACGGCCATTGTAAGCTCAGGGCTCAGGGTCGGGGGTCTCAGTGGACCCCCTTGATTTTCATGCACACCTGCGCCTGGGTGGCCAGGCTGGCAGCTCTCCTGCCCTAGACGGCCACTTTCCTGTGCCTAGTGCGGAGATCGTGGACGAGGTCCACGATGTCCGCACTAGCCCAGGAAGGTGCCCCCCTCTTGCGGTCCAGGGCAAGCTCCTGCTCTGTGCCGTGCCAGGTGCAGGGTCTGCTGGCTGGGTGCTGGCAGGCTTGCACCTGGCACGGGCACTGTAGCCAGCCCGTGCCCCTTTAAGGTGTCCAGGGATGGGAGGGGGACATACGAGTTTCCCTGGTGTTGGCCAGAGTGTCCACCAGGGAAACCTGGGGAGGGCTAGCCTCCCACTAGTTCGAATTAAGGGTCTACACAGCCCTTAATTCGAACTAGTAAGTTCGAACTAGGCTTAATCCTCGTGGAATGAGGATTACCTAGTTCGAACTAAGCGCTCCATTAGTTCGAATTAAATTCGAACTAGCGGAGCGCTAGTGTAGCATCTATGAAAGTTAGTTCGAACTAACGGACGTTAGTTCGAACTAACTTTGTAGTATAGACATACCCATGCAGAATCAGTTTTTGTATCCCTGCAGGGATCTTTGCACAAGTATGCCAGTAGTGGGCAATGCTGAATGACTGCTGCTAAGTTAGAAACAAGAGAATTATCCCATTGGAAAGAGGATTTTCCCACTCCTTTTCCAATGCACCTTAAATGTCTCCTTTGACCAGGAGTTTGATCAAGGCAATACAACATAATTCAAGAGAAAAAGAAGGAAATATTTGGGAAGCAGGCTGCTTATTGTTGTAGAGCATCAGAAATAGTACCGCAACGATGTCTCAGTAGAAATTGTCCCATAAGAATAAAATTGCATGAAAGGCAGTAAAAGAAACACACACAACAGATAAATACAAGTCACATTGTTTAGCAATTTCCCACAGGATACTGTTACCATGTGTGAGATCAGTATATACAGAATGTTGCATAGTATGTACATTTACTTTCATACTGACAGTGATATATTTCAATACCTTTCTTTTTTGTTGTGTCAGTGATCAGTTTTATATTGTACCTTTGGCTTCAGTGAGGCTGCTATGATCTGTTTAAATCAACATAATTTGTTAAAAGTGTTTCTAGGAGGGTGCCTATAGCTAAATAGATGGTCCTTTTTAAGTCTGCACATTGATTACAAAGATTCTGGAAGTCAAATACTGTTTCTGGTTTTTGTGTCTTCATACTTCAGATGCTGAAGAATTTCTCATTCCCCTCCTTTCTGTCTGGCATTAAACATTAGGTGTCACAGAAAACTCTGCTAATGTCTCTTTACCTTGTTTCTATAGTGCCTGTTAGGAAATATATGGGAGGGAATTTTTTAGCTGTTTTCTGGCCACAACTTCAGTAAGTATAACCATTTGGTTTTATGTCAGCATTTATATGGACAAATAATTGTTTGCCTTTCTGCCTCGTTTGCTTACATAAGGCTAATTTATGAATCAGAAGGTACACTAAGGGTGTAAATCAGTTTGTGCACATAAAATATTGGACAAGCTGGAGGTTTGGGTATAAATCTATGTTGCACTAGCTATGTTGCACTATGTTGCACATTTTGGTCTTTTCATTTTGTATCCACTGTCTTATGCAGCAGAACCCTGACAGGGATGTTACCACCATTCACTTCCTTCTTTTAGTCAGTATCTTGACAAAAAAATAAGGCTAATGAGAGATGTGTTTGATTGGAAGTGCTATATTCTGTTGTGGCACTTACATTTATTCATGGGCAATAACATTATATGTTCATTTCTATCATTTTGCCTTTCTTACAAGTTATCTTTCAGGATACCAAAAATCAAAAACTGCTGCAGGGTGGGAGGTGAGTATTCTTAGTATTTAGCTTAGCTCTTACATAATTTTTATCCAGAGAATTTAAAATATTTGAGAAAGGAATATCATTCTTCCCTTTAGACATATGGGAAAAGAGAAATGAGCTGCAGAGCTAGGAATAGAACCTATTGATCCCCATTTGGTGCTCTACCTGCTGCACTAGAGGTAGACAAGATCCAGCCAACCAAACCACTCTATCTGGCAAGTAGATCCAGCCCACAGGCTACAGACCACCTAGGTAAGTGCCTTCCAACCACAGCCTGCCTTTGGCACTCAGCCCCTCCCTGCAACCCCAAGTCACTGTCCAAGCCCTCTGGGCGCACGCACACACTCTTGCACCTCTCCCCCAGGCCAGAATCCTCTCCTGCTCCCATACCCTTCCCAACCCTATACCCACTTCTGAGCCACAGGTCATCACCTAAATCCTCTGCACCATCCCACCCCTTGGTCATAAATCCACCACATGCCCTACACCCTTTCCCCAGGCAGACTCTTCTCCTACACACACACCTCATCCCAGGTCACAACCCCCCTTCCTTCACCTAAACTCCCTCATGGACCACAAATCCTCTTCTACACCCCAGTCTGCTACCCCAAGCTTCCTTCTGCACCCAACCTCTGTCCCAAACCCCATAACCCCTCCATAGAAAAGTTCAGCTCTTGACCACTTACCAAAATCTTGGAGTGCCCCTCCATCAAAAATTATTGTCCACCCACGTGCTAAACCCAGTGTGTCAGTATTTAGGCCTTATGCCTTCCTGTGTATACAGAGTTTGTTGTTCTACATTCCTACAATTTGTAAATGATGCTCCTAGTGCCAGGTGTAGGACTGTTTGTTTTGTTGTTTCTAGTGAGAACTTTTTAATAAAACAAGTAAACAAGCACACTCCAGGGACTTTGTCAGCATCAACAGGCAGACAAGTGAATAAAATGTATAATCTGAAAATGAGACCTCGTGCATGGGTTTTGGTTGGTCTGGACATATTTGTAGGGTTGAGTGGTACATTTCACTGGATAAAGTCAGGTGGTAACCTATGAGCTGAATTTGTATTCAGTGTGTGTGACTGTGTATAAGAGAGAGAGAGAGAGAGAAATAGAGAAAAAATTAATTCCAAATGGTCTGTTCCAGGGGTGGGCAGTAATTTTTTATGGGTGGCCACTCCAAGATTTTGGAAAGTGACTGCTCTCTTCTGTGATATTAATGGAGGAGGTGTGGGGTCTGGGATGGAGGTTGGGTTCAGAAGGGAGCTTGGGATAAGAGACTAGGGTGTAGGAGAGAAAGTGGAGTCTGCAAGGGAGTTTGAGTGAAAGAGGCAGACCTAGAGCAGAGGGGTTGGAGTGCAGGTTTTGGAATGTGACCTAGGGAAGGAGTCTGGGGTGCAGGAGTTTGGGTTGTAACCTAGAGTAGAAAGGGATTGTGATCTAGGGTATGGTATTAGGGTGCCAGATATGGGAGGGAGTATAGGTGCAGGAGGGGGCAGAGGATTTGAGTATGTTGAGTGGGGGGGCAGGATAGAGGTTTGGGGAAGAGAGGGTACTAGTGGCAGATTCTGGACAGGAGACATACTAGCAGCCCCACTAGCCTGCCTGCCTGCAGAGCTAAAGTATTGCAGAGCTTAAAAAGTTTATCGGCCTGCCCAGCGCCTGCACAATCATGTGCTTGTGTGAATAACTGAGCCAGAGGGAGGGTGGGTGCTTTGAGTGCTGCCTGTTATTCAAATAGGCAGATCTTGTTGGCCAGTTTCCATCCAGAAGCTATTCAATGGGATTGTGCTGGGGATAGGAGTTATGCCCAAAGCCTTCTCCCCTCCCTTATGGGCTCAAAGTTTTTAAAGAGAAACGGCCCCACAGCCTCTTTTCTGAGAGATGTGCAGGGCTGTGGAGTTAGGCAGGAGAGCCTGCCTGGGGCTCCTCACTGCATCTGCGGGCCAGATCTTGTGGCTTGGCGGTCTGAATCCAGCCCGTGGGCCGTATTTTGTCCAGGCCTGGTCTATTCCATGCTGTAAGACTTCCCATGCTGACTGCCTGGTTACCCCTCCCCCCCATACTTGCTTGCTATTTGTGATAAGGATATCTCCCACTTCACTTCACCATTCCTTCAGTTGTTTTTGTTGTGGCAGTGTGGCAGCTGCTAGACTTCTAGTGTCAATGGATCAACTGAACAATTGGAATCATAAAGAAAAATGATGGTCTGAATTTCTCGTCCTCAGGCAGTGTACCTGACAAAGTGGCTTATCCTCAAATCCATGTTACCGTGTCAGCTGAGGGTTCTGTCACACACTAGTTCAACAGGATAATCTCAAAGGGAGACATCTAGACAGTAGGCAATCCTAATGGTTTTAATACTCTGGCAAAAAGGCCAGTGGTAAAGAAGAAAATAATTTTAACTCTTAAGGCACGGGCAGGCTGTTGTCAATTCCAAACATTCCAAAGGAGCAAAAAATTGAAATTTATTGACTTCAAAATTATTTGATTTTTTAAAAAAATCATAGCTTCTGACTTATATGCTTTGTGTTTCTGGATCTTTAAGTGCTTTCAGGTCATGTTTTCAGACTTTTCTCCCTAACCATGAGGAGGACGTCTTTTTATTAATGACAATTTAGATTCTCATGTAATCAGCAGCTGCAGGTTGGGATGTTTAGAAAACACCAAAAATTTCACAATTAAATTGGGGCAGCTGTGATCATTGGAACTGGCAATAAGGAATTTCTATCCAGTGTCTCATGCCTCCCCAAAGAAGTCGGAAATTTTCCCTTGAAGGAGTCATGCAGGTTGAGAAACCATTGTAAATCCAGAAGAATAATATTCCAAATATAAAAATCCTTTGAATCTCCCCACTTCCTATGTCTTGTAGCAAAACTAACTTTTGTTCTTTCCTGTATTGTTTGCTTCTCATGACGGAGACATTCAATGCTCTGATCGGACCTTTCCTGTGTCTCATACTGTTCTTGATAATATTAACAGTGGCCATGCCTGTCATAGCAATGTTTCTATAAGTCTACCTCATTTCAACTTTGTAAATGTTCTCTTGGGCTTACAGCATGGTGCTCAATTGTCCTGTGGGGGACAATGAAATTCACTGGAAAATGAAAAATACAAGCTGTGAAATGAGTAGACATAGTCTGCCAGGTATATCCTATCTACCTGTGGATTATGAAAAACAAAATTTACATGTAATTGTGCTCATAAATCTGTTTATTCCAAAACCCAAAAATACTTGTTCATCTGATTTAGGGAAAATAAGAACATAAGAACATAAGAACGGCCGTACTGGGTCAGACCAAAGGTCCATCTAGCCCAGTATCCTGTCTACCGACAGTGGCCAGCACCAGGTACCCCAGAGAGGGTTGACCGAAGACAATGATCAAGCAATTTGTCTCCTGTCATCCCTTTCCAGCCTCTGACAAACAGAGACCAAGGACACGATTTTATCTCCTGGCTAATAGCCTTTTATGGACCTAACCTCCATGAATTTATCCAGCTTCTCTTTAAACTCTATTATAGTCCTAGCCTTCACCGCCTCCTCTGGCAAGGAGTTCCACAGGTTGACAACACGCTGTGTGAAGAAGAACTTCCTTTTTTTAGTTTTAAACCTGCTACCCATTTAGATATGCAAAGAAGAAGGTTAATTAATAAACAGAATTATTTCGTCTCTCTTTAAAAAAATCCAAATTCACTAAGCGAAGCAAAAAATTAAGAGTTAGCCCGCTGTTCATGCAGTTTAGTTGTTACTTTGATTTATGTCAAACAGCAGCAACATTTTTAGATATCCCATAGTTGTTAGTATGGTTTTATTTCTGATGATAACCAATTTCCTCTCAACATGCCCAACAAATAAATAGGGAAAATCTATACCCAGCTTGGATGAGTTTTTACACATGTTCCACTTACTACCTATAGCACTAAAGATGCTGCCAGACTAATGCTAAATGGTTATAATTCAGGTATACCCAGCAATTTTATTGAATATGGATGCTGAACAGATGGCTTCTTTTGCTGTTTGAAGTACAGTATTACTAATATCTTCAGCTTTCTTCTTGTGTAGGGGGTATTGTGCTTTTATTTTTGAAAACTCTCCAAAGTAAGAAGACTAATCTGATTAATGATCTGTTAAAATGTATTGGGGAAAAGACATTGATCTGGTGTATTTTGATGAAAATATCATTCTGTTACTGTTCAGGGAGAGTACCTTAAAGAAGCATCTTTTTCCCCCCAGGTTTTGTCCATATAATACAAGTCAATATGCCTACTTGTTTTTTAACATCAAGACATTTCCTTGAATTCATTGACGCACAATGTGGGGGGATTAAGCACAAAATGTTGTGCAATACTGGTGAGTTCAGTGAGGATGAACAAAGGTAACTGAGGATAGAATTTGGTCCTGTGTATAAATATTGATTTGTCATGTGTGTTCTATTATAGTGTAATGAAGACCAGTGTAATATAGTGGTGGAGTAGGATGCTAGGCAGGGAATCTAGATCTTCTGATTCCTAGGGGCACATCTAAACTACATTCCTCTTCTGAAATGTAAATGAGCCCAATCGAAAATGCACATGAAGCGTGGAATTACAAATCTCATATTTCATTTGCATAATCACGAGAGAGGTTTTTCAAAAAAGGGTTTTTCGAAAAAGAAAACGCAGTCTAGATGGAGTTCTTTTGAAAAAAACAACAACGCTTTTTTGAAAGAACCCATACATCTAATTTTTTCAGGCTTACGGGTTCTTTCAGAAAAGGGTTTTTTTCCTAAAGAATCCCGCCTAGATTGCGGTTTCTTTTTCAAAAAACACTTTTTTGAAAAAGCTTCATTTATGGAAATGAAGCGTGAGATTTGTAAATCCGTGCTTCATTTGCATTTTCGGTTGGGCTCATTTAAATTCCTCTTTTGGAAGAAGAATGTTGTTTAGACATGCCCCCTAGGAGTCAGAAGATCTAGATTCCCTGCCCAGCTTTGATACTGGATTACTGACTAACTTTAAAAAACAATGACTAGTCTAGCAGCACCTTAATGACTAACAAAATAAGTAGGTGGTATCATGAGCTTTTGTGAGCACAACCCGCTTCTTCAAATGAATGGAGTTATTAAACATCCAAGTTCCAACATAAATAGGGGATTGGGGGGGGGGGGGGGGGGGGAAGTAGGGAGAAAGAAAAAGAAGGGGAAAATAGTCAGTTAGTGTGTTCATGCTACATGCAGCTGATAAGAACAATTTGCATCTTCTCTAATTACTCATTTT